TACACGTTCGGTGAGACGTAGTTTCGGGGATGTGCCTGGCAGATGAGACCGATGGCGTCGAGGGCGTGCTTCCGGGCCTCCATGGGCTGTGAGGCATCTGCCCAGGGAGACAGGTTGTCGACCATGAGCTTTGCCACGGATTTGCCAGAGTACTTGGGGAAAATCTTGAGGAAGACAGCAAGCTCTGAGTCCAAGTCGCAATGCTTGCCGACCATTCCAACAATGATCGAATATCTGGCAAACTTCATGAGTTTGGTGGCGTCCATCTGCGTGTTGCGCATGCTGGCAACTCCGCGCAAACTAGAAGCACCTAGATGAGCTAGCTTATCGCGATTGTCCAAGAGAGTTGCGATGATCCATAGACATGCGACGACATCATCCAGAAGGTTCTTGTTGAGTCTGCCAACAGAGTTCTGAAGCTGTTCTCTCACTTCTCGAAGGAAGTCAGCATACTTTGCAGAGAGTTGCGGCAAGATCTGGCGATAGATGATTGTGACGGCTTTGAAGACAGCTAGGTCATCAGCACCACTGATGCTAGCGAGATGGGGCTTCAGCAGCCTAATCTCTTCAAAAGTGAAAAGCTTGGGGTCTGCCTTGGCAAAGATTTGCAATACTTGCAATGCATCTCTTCCGGAAGGGATGTTAGGATCGTCAGAATCAAGATTATCGATAAGCTCGAACATCTTCTCAACCAGCTTCATGCTGACACCAAAGGGGCCATTGTGAGATTTGTTCTGCCCGCCTAGAATGGACTGAAGAACTTTGTCGAGGACTGCGCCAACATTACCAGACTTGACTGTCTGAATCATCAGAGCAACGTGGTCGGTGAGGGATGTTTTGAAGGCTGCTGTGTCGTCGACTTGGTAAAATGGAGCGAACCAGACCTCCTCAATCATCTGGCGAGCAAGCTCTCGAACACCTTCGTCAGGGTCTTGCACACGATGAAGCAAGCCATTGGCGATAGAGCTGCGGATCTCCCTGCTTTGGTTGCGAAGGTAAATATCTTTGGCCAGTTTCATTGCCCTCTTCCTTACGCCGATACCGGAGTCGATAAATCTCTCAATGATTCGTTCCGCCATCTTGTCTTCAAGTCTCGGACGCAGGCCAATGCACTTGCCCATCAAGCCAATTGCCGAGTCGCGTACCTGAGGGGACGAATCACTTGAGCAGTTGATGATCAAATGGACCACCACGGAGTCTCCGTCCAGGATGGCCGGATCTGTCTCCAATAGCTGATTAATACTCTTGAGACTCTTGCTGCGGACGGTGGCCTGGTCACTGGCCATGGCATTGAGCAGAACATTGAGCATTGCTCTAAAGTGTTCGCAGAATGGTGACCGGAGAAGAATGATGGAGTATGCCAATTTTGCGTGGTTGTTGTTGACATCTTTGAAAGTGTATTCATTAGAAAGCCATCGACGATCCTCAATCATCATTCTGAGGCGGAAGGCAAGTCGTCCAAACTCGTGGTCCAGCGAGTCGCTGGTCTCTTGCAAGGCATCATAACCGGAGAAGATCCTTTGGGCCCAATCTGCAATCAGGAAGGAAATTGCGCCTTGTAAATGAGGGTCATCGCCACACCGTTGCTGAAGGTGTTCAAGAGTTGTTCGAAATGGTCCTGACCAAGAGACGTCATGTTCGATTCGACTTTTCTGCTCCAGCGCAGAGGTTGCCAGCTCAGACAGGTACCGCGACAACTCGTTGGAATCGCTTCCATCCATGGAATAAGTGACCTTACGAACATGTGAGCGGAGTTTAGAGACTGCAGCACTCATGACACCGAGAAGTTCAAGGGCCATATTCTTGGCAGGCGCGGCTGTCCTGTCTCCCTCCCAGAGCTTCATCATGTAGAAGGTCATTTGGCGTAGAATGAGCTCAGCAGAGGGCCAATCAGGTGAGTCGAGACATTCCGTAAAGTCTTCAACGAAAAGGTCAAGAAGATTGCGATATGGAGTGTCGCCAGACTTTGTGGACTTCAGCGCACGGTTGACCATAAAGTTAACCACGTAATTTGCGTTGTGTGTCGAGCCTTCAGTCAAAGGTAATGCTACAACCTTGAGCTCCTCCAAGGCGAGCACATGTTGTGAGGCACCTGCATCCTCGGACTTGACAGTGGCAGCCACCGTCTGCTTCGTAGGCTGGGCCAACTCATCCTCATCCGGATCTTCTTCTTGCATCATGGCTAGGCGACTGCGCGTGCCCTTCTCATCAACCTTGCCAGAGCTGGCCTGGACAAGGCGCATGATGAGGGCCGATACGGGCTGGATGCTACCGCCATTGGAGAGGCGAAATTGGCGAGCACTCTGTTTTCCAACCGGAAGCTTCTCCAACGATGTGAGGATGTCGTCAAAGATGCCACGGCGCTGGTCGGGTTTGGCGAGGAAAATCTGGCAAAGCATCTCCATTGCAACCAAGCGAATGCCATCGAATCGCTGTACACCAACGACAGAATCTTTCTCTAGGTAGGCATTGTCGACGAAAAGTAGGCTCGATGCGGCAAATTCTAGCATGCCAAGAGCAGTATCCGAAAGCTCTATGCTTGTGACGAGTTTGGCGAGCAGCGCGAACAGCTTCTGGCAGTTCGTGAGAATCGGGCCAATCGCCTTTTTGTGAGGCTGTAACAGCTTGAATAGTGCAGATGTCGGGCCAGTGCCCCTCATCTCGACTACGGGGATGACGATACCCTCGACAACCCCCTTGAAGACATCTGTCGACTTTTGAATAATCTCCTCGGAGTAGATTTGCTTCTCTTCCCTACCACCACACATTATGCGTAGACAAGTGCGCGCAGTCTTCAGGCCCATCTCAATCTCTGGAAGCTGATTCAGCCAGCCGGAGACTTCAGATTCGCCCCAAGATTCCTCAATTCGATAATCGAGATTGAGCGTATGCGCCAGACCCGGCTCGCTCAGCTTCTGAATGTACTGAAGTTCTTCGATGGGCGCGTCGCCGTAGCTGCCTAGCTCGATGGATTTTTGGATGGCAGTCTGCAACTTCTGCTGCGTGGCCCCCGTCAAGACAGCCTCGTTGTCGGGGTTCAGCGTGGCGACCTGTTCGTAACCAGGTTCGTTTCCGAGCACACTTCTAGTGGCATCGAGTACGCTCTTGATTAGTCGCTCAAGATCCTGGAGGGCTGCTTCCGCCCGTTGCTTCTGGTTGAGGTTGGTGCTGATATCATCCTGCCGGCTTTGATAAGCACCGTCCTGTCTTCGCATGGACAACCCCGTTGGCTCATCAGGAGAGTCTGGAGCCGCCATCTCAAGATATTCATCCTTATTGAATCCAGGAGCGCGAGGCAATTCTATCGCAAACTTCGTCTTCTGAGCTGCAACCGCGGCCGGTGGCCCTTGTGCAGTGGAGGGCGTCAAAGGCTGCGTAGGGGTCGCTTGCACGGGGACAGGCTGTATAGGGACCGGTATCGCCGAGAGCTGAGGTTGAGTAGGCGTCAGCTGCTTCGGAGTAACCTGGCTCGGAGTGACAACTCTCGTGACGTCGGATGGGTTGACGGTAGCAGGCTGTGGAGCGGGTTGATCGGGGACCTCTACATATGCACTAGGGTCGAATTTTTTGGATGGGATCGCTACTTCGAAGCGGAAGTTGTTTCCATGATGACTTTCTGCACTTGCTGACGGACGCTTCGGCGGCGGTGGGGCTGATTTGGGTGTTGATGGAGGTTGCGGCTGCGGCTGTTGAGCAAGCTGGCCGTTGGCAGAGGCTGAGGTAGTACTCGTTGTTCCCGGAGGCTTGATGAATGTGGGAGCCCTATCGAACACCATCTTCGCCACCGGGGAGAGACCAGCACTCAGACTCTGGGAAGATCCAGCTGGACTATTCGCCATGTTCAGGTTCGCTTTAGGGACAGTCTTGAACTTGCTGCAAAACACAGATGTTAGACAATGATCGGCTCGGAGAAGGGTTCAACTCACAAGTAGGTCCGTTGATTGGGTTTCAAATCGTGAAGTACATGATCCACCGCATATTTCAGGTGCTTCATCCCATGGTTGTGATTTTGCCCCGTTGCTTCCTTGTTTAGACTATCGAATTCCTGACTGCTGAACATTTGCGAGATACTCGAAGCAAGCGAGCCAGAGCCAAGTGTTGGATCGGGGATGAGATCTGAACCAAGTCAATTAGAGACAAGCGACCATATATTCAGACAAAGACAGCCACCCACCTGAGGTAAAGGGAATGACGGAGGTTTGAGGAGAGTAAGGCAGGGCCTCAGACAGCGTAAACGGTCGCGCCATCGGACGTTGTTCTGCAGCTTGCGGCTGCATATAGCCGCCGTTGGGTGGACCGTTCTGGACGGTCCCCTGGCTGTTGACCATTTTTTCTGTCTCCTCGGACCTAATCCGGGTCTCAAGACATGTTATTTCGTGAGGAGGACGGAGATTCGAAGCGACTGGCGAAGCTGATCGGCAAGGGTGTCGGACGTGGAAACGCGCAGCGGAGGAAGTATCGTTTGTCGGTCGAGGAGTTTGCAAAGGATGGAGACTAGAGGTCAGGCAAAGGAGGGAGCCACCTGTAGCATAGTCCCAAGCCGAAAAGTTGCAAATAGGAAAGGACGATGTGTTGCGATCGGGCGTCGTCGTTGTCGTCGTGGATGTGATGAGAAGGTCGGAAGGTTGCGACAGCCTCGCGTGGAAGGACCCTTGTCCAGTCGCGTGGTCCGTGCAGAAGCTTTAGGCGGCAGGAGCGGCCAACCAGTGGCCAGTTGTTCCGTTCTTTCCTGTTTCCCCTGGCACTTTCAAGGTTCTTTGTCTTGCGCACCTCGCAGTCTGCAGCAAGCCTGAGTCGGGATTACATAATATGCCACCAGGGTGGAGACGACCGTCAAGACAATCGATAAGATCAAAGATAACGATAAGGAGATAGCGATTGTCCGAATTTCTTGGAAGAAATATTTTGTTGGTCTGTCTGCCGCGATACTCCGTCGATCACCCTACACCCCGAACGCCTGTAGACACTCGATACCGTCACACACCGATCCCACCGCAGCCATGTCCGCCATTGGAACTCTCGTCTTCTGCACCGATTGCGGTAACCTTCTACCCGCGTCAATGGGCACGGAGAAGAACACCCTCACCTGCGACTGCTGCGGTGCCGATAACAAGGGTAGGCTCATCGCCGCTGACGTACTTGGTTGCAATAGTTTGCAAGACTCCAAACTAACAAGATCAACACAGACACTGGCGCCAAGACGATTACTACACAGACCAAGCCTTCCGATTTCCCTTCCCAACTCAGACAGAAGCTTCAGTCCAACGTTCAGGCTGTCGACAGAACCAACGTCAACACCGAGGCCACGATCAGGGAGACATGCCCCAAGTGCGGCGCAGAGGAGGTCCGCTTCACCGCCGTGCAGCTTCGCAGTGCAGACGAAGGCAGCACCATCTTCTTCACCTGCGAATGTGGTTTCAAGTACGCCAATGCCTCGTTTTGTTCCGACCGAGCTAGCTATTTCCCAACTTCATACTAACCGACTTGTTTTTCCAGGTGGTCTCATAACAACTGAAATGCACTAAACTTTTTGCCCGTCGCTTTTAAGTACCTAATACCACCCGAATATTTACCTGCCCGACCCAACTTTGCCAAAACCAAAAAGACCACTTCGTGTTCAAGCAGCCGCCTTGGCCGCCTCGGGAATCAACGCATACTCCGTCTGGCCGCTTGACTCGAACTCGGCCATGTCCAGCGCCACGATGACGCTCTCGCGCACAACCTTCTCCTTGTCGTGCAGGAACTTGAGGAGCGTCGCCTCGACGCCCTCCTCGTCGCCCAGGCTGCCCAGCGCCTCGGCGGCCTCGTGCCGCACCATGCTGGCCTCCTCGGTGTTGCTGAGCGCCTCGGTCAGCGCGGGGATGGAGGCCGGGTGCGACAGCTGACCGAAGACGAAGGCGATCTCGTGGCGGAACAGGGCGGAGGAGTCGGCGAGGCCCTTGGCGAGGGCCAGCACCGCGGGGACGGCGGTCGGCAGGTCGGGCGGCGACGCGAGGTCGCGCAGGGCGAACATGGCGCGGTAGCGCAGGAAAAGGGGCAGGCTCGAATCCATGAGAGTCTTTTCGAGCTCTGGCACGGTGCGCTGCGACTCTTCCATGGGAGGCGCGGGGTCGACGGACGTGAAGTCGCTGTACAAGCACGAGGGTATAGGCGTTAGCATAGTGAATTAAGATACCCCCGTTTCTGGACTCCATGGTAGTAATGCAAGTCGTACCTCTTACGCAACTTCTCCAGCTTTCTCTGCTCAGAGTTCTCCCACTCGAGACGGTCGATGGCAATCTCGCACGTCTCAACAATGCAGATGTCCTCGCCCTCGCGGTCTCTGTACTCCCTCAGGATGTCCAGCTGGCTAGCGTCACCCAGCGCACCAAGGGCCTCGGCGGCCTCGTGGCGGCACATAGGGTCCTCCTGGAGGTCGGTCAGGACATTGCGTAGGTAGGGGACGGCGACGAGATTAGCCGTCTGGCCGAGGCAGTAGGCGAGCTCATGCTTGAGCAGGGCCGAGGGGGAGGCGAAGCCTGCAGCGATGGCCTCGATGGCGGCCTCGCTGTCGGCGCCCTTGCTGTTGCAGGCGACGTGCTTGAGGGAGAAGAGGGCGCGGAAGCGGATGGGGAGAGGGGTCGTCTCGGAGGTGAGCGTCTTGCGCAGCTCGGCGATGGTCTGGGACTGGTCGGCGGCGGCGATGGCCTCGAGTGTCTCGCGCGTCTCGGGGAGGTCGGCGGAGGGTGACATTGTTGCGTTTTCTTTTTGGGTTGTGCGTAAACGGAGAGGGGTATCTTTTATTCTAGAGACTGAAAGAAACTGACAATAATGCCGTCAATGGAAGTTTGTGGTGACTCAAAGTGAGGCTTGAATGGAAAGAAAAAAAGAAGAAGGGCGTGGGCCGATTGTATTCTAGGAGGGCGGAATGGACTAAGACTTACCTCCGAGGGGTGGTCTCTTGCCCGTCGGATCTGATAAAGTCGGGCTGGCTGTAGAAATTTTGCGAGGGGCATAGCGGGGTGATTGGCACCCGATAAGATCTGCCCCTCACTAGCAAAGGGAACCCTGCAGCCCCGTCCACAGCTGCATTTCCTGCAAAACACAGGCACTTCAGCTGAGAGGGCCTTCGCCGTACGTAATGCTACGGGCCTTGCAGCCCAAAGCGGCTCCATTCATAGGCTGTCATCTTCAGCTTCTCTTTCAGAAGCCAGTAGCTCTGATTGGTCTATTAGTCTAGTTGGTTAGGACGTCGGATTCTGATTCTCAGAACCTTCCGTAGGCCCAGGTTCGAATCCTGGATGGACCTCATTTTTTGCCATTGTCACCCAGGATGTGTTTCTGTATCACTGGATGTTTGTGACGACCTTTTTGTTGATAATCTGTGTCCTTTTGGCTTCCATCTAGAGCAGCTGTTAAGTCCTGCAAAGCTTAACTTTTGATTACATCAGCAAAGTTAGTGTTGAAGAGTGACTCTATTAAGTGGGGTTGCAACCGCGGCGAACTTCCAGGGCGGCATTGCCACCACTCACAGCAACTTATTTTGTCAACCGCTCTTCATCTTAGATATTTACCTTATACTTCCACCTTCGTACGATCCACAGTGAACTCTGGCTTCTCCAAGCAGAAAACGGACTGAAACTCACTTGTCAGTATTCCCCGTATAAGTCTTCAACTTGTGACGAGTTCGATCTTGACTGTCGCCACAGAACCGCTTTGCAATCCGGCTTATCAATCAACTTCACCTCACTTGGCCTCACCCCATCGCCGGTGCCGGACCTAAAGGCAACTCATCCATCTCATTTACACGCCTTCAACTTTCACTATAACCGATAGGATCTGACTGCACATCACTCGCAATCCTCCCCGGACCTCCAGACACCACTCATCTCACGAGCAAACCACAGCGCGCACACAAAGATGGCCCCCTCCCTGGAGGCGGATCCCGACTCAGCGGTCCAAGACGTCCTCGCCAACCCCCTCAAACAGAAGCCCTCCCTCGTCGCTCCAGAACCAGAACACTGCCCGGGACCAGAATCCGCCGCCGCCGGCACAGCAGACTCCTGCGCCGGCTGCCCCAACAAGGAAATCTGCGCCGCCACCGCCGTAAAGGGCCCGGACCCGGACATACCCATCATCGCCTCCCGCCTCTCCGGCATCGCCCACAAGATCCTCGTCCTCTCGGGCAAAGGCGGCGTCGGCAAGTCCACCTTCACCACCCTCCTCGCCCACGCCTTCGCCACGAACCCCGACAGCGCCGTCGGCGTCATGGACACGGACATCTGCGGGCCCTCGATCCCCAAGATGCTCGGCGTCGAGGCCGAGACGATCCACGTCTCCGGCGCGGGCTGGTCGCCCGTCTGGGTCCTCGACAATTTGGGCGTCATGTCCATCCAGTTCATGCTGCCCGACCGCGACGCCGCCATCATCTGGCGCGGCGCCAAGAAGAACGGCCTCATCAAGCAGTTCCTCAAGGACGTCGAGTGGGGGCCCCTCGACTTCCTCCTCGTCGACACGCCCCCCGGGACCTCGGACGAGCACCTCAGCGTGAACACGTTCCTCCGCGACAGCGGCATCGACGGCGCCGTCGTCGTCACCACGCCGCAGGAGGTCTCCCTCCTCGACGTCCGCAAGGAGATTGACTTTTGCCGGAAAGCGGGCATCCGCGTTCTCGGCCTCGCGGAGAACATGGCGGGCTTCGTGTGCCCCAAGTGCACGAACCAGAGCGAGATCTTCCGCGCGACGACGGGCGGCGGGCGGGCGCTGGCCGAGGAGATGGGGGTGCCGTTTTTGGGGAGCGTGCCGCTGGACCCGCGGATCGGGATGGCGTGCGACTATGGCGAGAGCTTCTTTGATAGTTTCCCTGATAGTCCTGCGTGTTTGGCGTTTAAGGAGGTGGTGAGGAATGTGAGCAAGGAGATGGGGCTGAATGAGAAGGATGTGTTGCCCGAGGATTAGATGGGAGAGGAGGGGGCTAGACATTACTCTCCTGATCACGATTTAGACGCTACTTAACGAAAAAAATAATAAAAGATATCCATCAGCATGTTGGGAAGAAGCTGTATCGGCAAAGCACTTGTATTATGTACGCGAAACGCTGCATACTACCGTCCTGTTCTTCATCATGAACGGGGCCAAGCCTGTGGTCCCCTCTCCTTCGACTGTCTATGTAGATGCTCACTCCCCGCCTTGCAAATGTTCATGCCTCACATCATCTTTTTTCTTTTCCTTTTCTCCAAACTCATATTGGCTCTTTTACTCAGCGCCCAACTTCTCCGGTATCTCCTCCAGATCCTCAGCCTCTCGGATATCAATCACGCGAATGACCTCGCTCGTATTCCGCATCAGCTCCTTGGCGCCGGCGTAGAGCATCCGTATCTCGCTGTTACAGGTGGTAGGGAGGTAGTAAATCAGGACGTACGGGACCGACAAGCGGCCGGAGGCCTGCAGGGAAAGACAAAAGTCATCAGCCATCAGGTTTCCCCTTTCTCCTCGTCATGGATGTCTCAATGAATCCTGAACATACCAGTGTAAGCGGGTAGCTCAGCAGAATGAAGCGCGGGCTATGGTCTGGGAGGTCGTCGCTAATCTCCTCGAGTGACTTGTATACGACCTTGTCGTCGTCTTGCTTGATCTCGTGCGTGTTCTTATCAATGTAGTCTATCACAGTAGCATAAAGTCAGCATCTAGGGTATACACTTTGCTGGTCCGGCGCGCAAGGTATCCCGTCGGGGCTAGTGTTTGACATAAACGAGACATACATACAAATGACAGCTTGAGCACTGCTAGACCGCGAGGTCCCGAGGCGGAACTTGCGCAGGTGGTCCTTTGTCTCCTGGGAGAAGGTGTAGAGCCGCGATTCGGAGGCCTAGTGGTGCAAATACAGCCAGTCAGTCTGGATATTCTAGTGACAGTTGCGCTTGCGACTGGAAAGCTTGCTTACGCACCATGGTTGGTCTTCGAGGAGGGGTTGGCCAGGGAGGAGCACTTTCAAGTCTCGCTCGAGATATGCAGCGAAGGAAAGCGAGCAACGAAGTTCTCGAAAGCCCGGAGGATCGAAAAGCTGCCGTTTACAATACTGTTACGATATCCCCAAGGGTCCTTGAGGTTTATTTGGTAAGGTAGGGTAGCTTTCGTTGTCGCAAGCACTATGCACTAGAAACCGTCAGGCCGAAAGTCAAGCCACCCCTCCCCCGCCTCCGACGGAGTTGAGACCAGCGCAACGAAAGCCCCGCGCGCGCCATCTGGCTGGGGCCCCACCGAAGTGACCTCACCCATCCTCCCGCCGGACGGGAGCTTTCAAGTCGTCCAGTCCTTCCGATTATTTGCCGATGTAAGCAATGCTCTTCTTGTATACCTAAATACCTAAGGAACCTTAACTTGGGTTGTTGAGATATAGCATGTTCATTTTTTTATAGCTGGTGATACTATCTCTGGTGATTTCCTTCTATACTGCTATGTGAGGGTTCTCTGGAAATAATCAAGTCGTTGACTGTCCAACCGATTGACAGAACGCGGAAATATGTCAACAGAAAAGATAAAGCATCTTGCAGTAAGAGCTGGGAGTGGGATGAAGGTCTGGGATTTACCTATGTCTCTGATTGATCACCTCAAAGATCAATAGAAACAGCCCAATGGATAAGAACCAGTCACAGCAGTCGCGGCAGTCTTCTAGAACCCATTCATCATACCGATAATGAGAGCAAACGGTCACGTGATCTCATACACCGCAGGACCGTCCTCCGCTCACCCCGAACCGGAGCTCGGAGCCTCCAAAAGAGCTCCCGCATCTCAACACTTGATTCGTGCTTTCTGACGCCTTACTCTCGATTCCGCTCTCCTCCTCCTCCTGCCCCGGCCCGTACCCAAAGAGAGACCCTGCATCGCTCTCTTCCGCCCACTCTAATCAGCTCATGGTCCCATTGCCGTAAACCTTCCCGTTTGTCGTGACCTTTCCTCTCCTTTTACCGAAACCTTCGATTTCTTCCCAACATATGACATCATCGATTTTTGTGAGACGAAAACCCATCGGTTCGAGATAAGTTGCGTAAACAGAGTTGAGGTGCACACACACACACACACACATACTTGCACCTCATTCCGTATATACACAACACTTCACGTCGGGTATTGTTTTCTCATGTTCGCGCGACTCACCCAGCTGTCTCGGCATCTCCCCTCGGCCCAATCGATAACACAAGCCGTCAAGCCCACCGCTTTCCCAGTCTCTTCCGGCATCGCCCGCAGGAGCAGAATCATGGTTTCGGCAGACGAGCGCAACACCCGCACGATTCACACGGCGGCGTGTCTTATTATCGGAGATGAAGTCCTAGGCGGAAAGGTGAGGAGAAGTTTCGACATCGACACCACTTGGCGTCACATATTAGATGAATGGCTAACATCTCATCGTAATTCGTAGACTGTTGATGTGAGTAAACGGCACTCTGATAGGCCATCTAGACTGTCAAGTAGGCTTGTAGTGACCAACTCGTATTAACTGATCGTCATAGACCAACTCGGCTTACATGGCCAAGTGGTGCTTCTCTTTGGGCATTGTGAGTTGTTCAACATGTATTGAGTGCTTCATAGGAGTGTGGCTGATCCCGAAGGCAGAACTTGAAGAGAGTCGAAGTCATTGAAGACGATGAGAGCGAAATCGTCGAAGCCGTCAGGCGCATGAGCGATCGTTACGACTTTGTGGTAACCAGGTGCGTCCCCTCAAAATCTCAATGACACCAAGGCCCCAGCTAACATGATATTCTCAGCGGCGGAATCGGTCCAACGTAAGAAACGTGGAATCCGACCCTTGACGTGAAACTGGATGGTTGACTAGGTAATTTCACAGACACGACGACATCACATACCAGTCAATAGCAAAGGCCTTTGACCTGCCCCTCGTCCTGAACCAGGAAGCCTTCGAAAAGATGAAGAAGCTCTCCAAGCCGCACCCGGGCCAGCCAGATTTCGACTGGGACGTCGACTCGCCCGCCCTGCAGGCGAAGCTGCGCATGGTCATCCTCCCCACCGACGAGAAGCGCGACCCCAAGAAGCAATTCGTCTTCCCCCACGAGGACCTCTGGGTGCCCGTCAACGTCGTCAACGGCAACATTCACATCTTGCCGGGCGTCCCGCGACTTTGTAGGTTCCATCTTTCTGCCCGGATATGGTTCTGATCTAACATTGCTGGGAAACAGTTGAGAAGCTCCTCGACGGGCTGAAGCCAGGCATCGTGCCCCGGCTCACCGATCCCGAGGGCAAGGGCCTCTGCCGCGTGCTCATTTCTACTCCGCTCCCGGAGAGCGCCGTCGCCGGCTACCTGACGCAACTCGCGGCCAAGGTCGAGCCCAAGGGCGTCAAGGTCGGCAGCTATCCCCGGTGGGGCCAGAACGGCACCGTGACGTTGGTTGGAAGGTAAGTCATCAAACTGCGCAGAAACGTGCTCGCAGATCACAGCTGTGGATATCTCCAACATCAAAGTTCAACTTCGGATGGCTGACTTTTTTTTTCGGCTGCAGGGACCAGGCTTACATCGAGAGCATCGTGGCCGAGGTTGTCCAGGGTGTCGAAGGAAAGCGTGTAAACGCGGAGGGTGAGGATGATACCCAGGGCGAAGCAGGGAAAGATCTCGAATAATGTCAGCAAAACCTAAATCTCAAATCAGATAGGAATCAACCCCCACGATCCCGAAGGAAGTGGCTCCGTTGCGGCAATAATAATCTTGTTCGGGATATCCGATTGTAACTCTATCATCTGGAGTATAAAGTGTTGCGGATCAATCCTAGGATGGTGTACTTTCCGATACTGGAGCAGCCAACAGCGATTTGACCACCGTGAGATCGGTTTTCTGTGAAAAGTATTCAACCGTCCCAATATCTTTTCAATGGGATCAGCTGTCAACCTGCCAACATCATCCGCCAGCTATGAATGATGTGTTTGAGCTGTCGAACAAACTCTTCAAGAGACTTCACGATCTGACTTGTGGAGAGGCGGAGACCGCACTCGGGCACGTGGTGGAGCCCTTTCAATGGGCCACAATTTGTGACTATGGCAGAGGCTCTCAGTAGAGATATCGCACGAATCCTACATGGCCTGATTCGCAGACACACACAAATCGATGCGTGTGCATAATCAATCCCATCACTTCAGCCGCGAGCCTGCGACCAACAGCCAACCCGCGATGCGAGGCGAATGCAGCTAGAGAGTATTCGTGAATTGCAGGCATCCTAACTCGAATAAACCAAGAGATCGTTGTTGGACCCATGTCGGACGGAGACGATGGCGGATTGCGCTGCTGCAGGCCAGGGGTGGATCGAAATGATCCTCCAGGGCTTCTAGAATGACAAGCTTCTGCTGCAGCTATTCAACACACCACGGGCCTGCAGTTCTCGGATTGCTAATTACTGCGTATGATGGCGGCCCGCGAGCGAGATATGCCAGCACGGTTACCTACCGATTGGAGACTGGCTCCGTTTCGCCAGGAGATGAGCTGTGGATTGGGGCCCCGGTGCTATCTCTGACGGTGACAACGTTTGGCTACACCTCCGTCTCGTGACGGCACAATGGGGCCGTCGCTCGCGGATCCTTATCGACGACGACGACTCTTCCCCATGGCTGAGGAAACCTCTCGAGACTCCCAGCAACCACTTCGGCCACGCTATGCCTGTTGCATCGAGTCAGCCGAATGTCAAGACTCGAAAATCGATGGAAGGTCAGTTCATGCTCCACAAAAGCATGTCTGCGACTACAACCCAGTCGTCGCATTGTCGCCCTCCGGACATGGATTTGCCATCCATTAAGTGGCCTGTCCGGAACTTCATCCATCCATGTCATGTCGCACTGTGCGACTGACCGAGATTGGGATAGGTTCTCTAAAAATCTCGTGGAAATCAAATCGGTTTGATATGTCCAAGGTGAAGCACGGTCCGAGAAGAGACCATTGCTGGAGAAGATAGCCTCGC